GAGAAAATACAAATATTGTGGGAAATCTGCTTTGCAAAAATGCTGGTGAATGTTCATGAGACCTTTACAAAATGTTTTGTTGGAGAACTGAAAAATGGAGGGGGGGAGGACTTTTTGCTGCTGAGTGGAGTTGCACATCACCTTCTGCTTGTGGCTGGGACTGCACAGCTCCATCCTCTGCCTCAGGGATTCAGTTGTGAACTGTCTGGGTGACTTTAAGCAAGTCATTTCTCCTCACTCCAGATAAACACATCAAGAAGAAGAAGAAGAAGAAGAAGAAGAAGAAGAAGAAGAGGAGTAGTAGTTTGGATTTGATATCCCGCCTTTCACTCCCCTTCAGGAGTCTCAAAGCGGCTAACATTCTCCTTTCCCTTCCTCCCCCACAACAAACACTCTGTGAGGTGAGTGGGGCTGAGAGACTTCAAAGAAGTGTGACTGGCCCAAGGTCACCCAGCAGTTGCATGTGGAGGAGCGGAGACGCGAACCCGGTTCACCAGATTACGAGACTACTGCTCTTAACCACTACACCACACTGGCTCTGAAGAAGAAGAAGAAGAGGAAGAAGAAGAGGAAGAAGAAGAAGAAGAAGAACATTGTGTGTGTCAGACTCAGGTATGAACCGGGTCCTGTGACAGCATGATGGTGTCCCAGCCCTCACTATGCTACTTGTTGGCCTTCCATGCACTGCTAAAGACTAAAATGGGGCTGTTGTCATTACGCATCATTGTGAGCAATGGTGAAGTTGCCAGACTGTTGTTGCTGCTTTGCTGGTATTTACTTTTACTGGAACTACTGACTGCTTTGCTGCTGGGAGCGCAGGTGATTGTTGTGACAGCACCAAGCCAGCACAGTGCTTACACAGGTTTTGTCTAAGATAGCAGGACGATAGCATTAGCCTGTCCCTCTTACACCTCTCTGTGGTATTTTCAGGAATCTTTTTAATGCAATTTTTTTCTTTGTAAACTGTTTTTATGCGGTTTAAAGGTTTATTGAAGTATTAGCAAACTGCCTCGACAACCGGGATTGGGAAAGAAATTTTAAAATAAATAAATTAGAAGCATGGAAACAAGGTCCTGACTTCTACCAGACATGTTCCGGATAGCCCTCATTCACACACTGAGTAGAAGCAGCGATGAACACACTTCATATATCTTGGGCCAAACAGAGAACAGCAAAAAGGGAGAATGGGAAGATGAGCCTTTTCATTCATATATATATATATATATATATATATAAAACTGTTCAGAAGTGCCTCCAAATCCACACAGGATTCCCATTTCGTGTGTCTGAATATTGCTCCAGAACCAATATTTGAGTAACAGCTTCAGAGGAACTTGCAGAGTGCAGCCACACTAATATCTTTTCCTTTTCACAAACGCGAGTCTTGGAGAGGATGTGAAGGGATCCCCAACAAAGCTCTCAGCATCATCACATAGAAAAAACAAATGCCCAAAAACAGTAGGGGTTTGGGGGGTGAAATATACTTGGAGTCGAGAGTGGATTTCATGCTCTTTATTCAGGTCATAGTGGTGAGGAGGGATGGAAGTTCCCCCACAATATCTGCTTTATATACATTATTTACACAATGGGCTGCACGTGATTGGCTAATTCCAGGATTCAGGTTGTGGATTCACTTCCATCTGGAGCTGGATTGGGTGGCTCCTGCGGACCAATCATACTGCTGCATTGTTCTAGGACCAATCAGACTGCTGCATTTTGAATCCTATTGTTCTAGGACCAATCAGACTGCTGCATTTTGGATCCTATTCAGCTCAGTACATAACAGGGGGGTTGCAGAAGATGAGGTACAGTGTCTCAGATTCTCCTGCATACTGCCGCTTAGTCCAAACAGATGCAACCTAAAGGACTGTGCTACAAATGAGTGCTGTTTGTTCAGCTCACGTTCAGAGAAAGCAAACTGGGGGTGGGGTGGGGAATGTCTCTGTTTGGCTCATTATTTCACTTCTGGAAGGAACACACGTTTTGACTGCTTGGTAGCCGCAACGGTATTTAGCACAGAAAAAGAGCCATCATCCAGTCCACCTATTGGCCAAAGAAACAAAAACAACCCAGTTTAGCTCGCTCAATATATAAAGCGAGATATCTGGCAACACAGCTTGCCAAATACAACGCACCAAGTTAGTCAGTCTTGTGAGGTCTGTGATTGTTGGCACAGGAGATGGCTCAGGGCTCGGGGCTTGGCCATGAAGGTACAAATTGGCTCAAGCGTCATTAAAATCAACAAGAGGTGTGAGTTCAGATGCTGTGAAGCCAAGGGGTTATTCATGCTGTGAAGATATATTCAGAAAAGCCATCTTTTGGCACCTTAGAGAATAACGCATTTTATTATTGCATATGCTTTCATAGACAACTGTTCGTGTCATCCAATGCAGTGTCTATTATTATTTTTTTTATTAATAACTTCATTTATTAATTGCTTACTGCAAGAAATCTCTTTAAGTGACATGCAAAAAAGAGCCAAAAAGACTAAGCATAAAAACAAAGCAATGTATTTTATTTATTTTTTATATATATAATTTTTATTAAATTTTCTGTTTTACAATTTAAAATACTCATTTTACATCCTTAAGATATCAATGACTTTCCTTCTTCTCTTTCCATGGTTCAATTTACATATCATAAATCCCTGCATATTTTACAGAAACTATACCATTCAGTATTCCATTATTGAATCCATCAAAACTTGTTTACACTGTTGAATTTATCTTAATGCTGCCAACGTTTTCAACTGTACACAATTATTTCCCATATATTCAATAAACGTTTTCCAATCTTCTTTAAACGTATGTTCTTCTTGTTCTCTTATTCTGCGAGCTGTGCATATTCTGTCAACTTAAGTTGCCATTCTTCATTAGTTGGGACCTTGCTCGTTTTCAGTTTTGGGTCTAACAAAACATGGGCCGCAGTAGTAATGTATTTTAATAAAAACCATTTCAATAACCAATAAAGAGACCCTGAAGAAAGGAGCAAATCATCATCATCATCATCATCATCCAGCAGAAATGGCTTTTAATCAAACACACCATCAGCTGACTCGCCATTAAGGGTCGTAGCTGACTGACTTTTACTCAGAGATGATGGGGAATAGACTGGCTAAGGGCAACAGAAGAAGAAAAAGAAAGTCATGGGTTCTGGAAGAAGCCAGGGCATTCAGAGAGGCACTGCTCTAATCTGCCGTCCCTCCTTTTCCTTTTGAGAGAGTGACTGGGAAGCAGGACATAATTCAGAGAAGGGATAAATGAGCACGCCTGACCCAGAAAATTAAAGCCATGCCAATGGACCTATCATGCATGTCATATGACCCACTGCAGGGCGGCTGCAGCAGGCCCCAGCTTCCCCAAAGTCTGCTGCTTTTCCCAATGCCTGCATTGTTCCAGGACCTTTGAAGGAGGACGTTGACATGGGGAAGAGCCATTGTGAGCTCCTCTCGCACAGCTGGGGTTTCTTACCCTCTCAGCATCTTCACTCACACGCAACATTTTGGACTCTCTTGTGTGTCAGGCTGGACTCTGATCCAGGCAGCTCATAACTTCAAAACGTCTGACTGTGATTTTCAGCTGATCTGCTGTGTCTGGAGACATTTGTTAATTTCATTTATTGTCAATGGACACTGCTTTTAAATACAGTGGTACCTTGGGTTACGCTACCTTCGGGTAACGTGATTTCAAGTTACAAATGCAGCAAACCCAGAAGTTTATACTTCCGGGTTCCGCCATACGCGCATGCGCAAAAGCGCTCTATTGCACCATGCACATACCAGAAGCGGCACGTCGGGACATGGACTTTTCAGGGTAAGTACGGACCCCCAGGACAAATTAAGTTCGTATCCAGAGGACCCACTGTAACTATGATGATGATGATGATGATGATGATGAAGATGCCGCCCATCTGAATGGTTTCCCCAGCCACTCTGGGTGGCTCCCAACAGAACATTAAAAACATGATAAAATATCAAACATTAAAAACTTCCCTAAGCAGGGCTGCCTTCAGATGTCTTCTAAAAGTCAGATAGTTGTTTCTTTCCTTGACATCTGGTGGGAGGGCGTTCCACAGGGCAGGTGCCACTACCGAGAAGGCCCTCTGCCTGGTTCCCTGTAACCTCACTTCTTGCAAGGAGGGAACCGCCAAAAGGCCCTCAGAGCTGGATCTCAGTGGATGGGGGTTATGCAAGGCTGAGAAATGCCTCCTGCTTCTTTTACAGTGTTGAAGCCATTTCGGATTTTAAAGGTTAGTACCAACTTTTGAATTGCGCTCGGAAACATAGTGGGATCGCTCCCAGACCCTCCCAGTGTCCCTATTTTTCTCAATTTACAGAAGCCGTCCCAGTTTCTGATTTGAACCCAGAATGTCCTGCTTTTCCTTAGGATGTCCTTGTTGGAGAAAACATTGGAGAACTGTCGAAAAGTATGGTAGGATGTCCCTATTTTCATTGGAGAAATGTTGGCAGGTATGGAGTTACCCAACCCCCTGAGCCGTCTGAAGGCAGCTCTGTACAGGGAAGTTTTTTTTAAAAAATCTAATGTTTTATTATGTTTTATGTACGTTGGGACGCGGGTGGCACTGTGGGTTAAACCACAGAGCCTAGGACTTGCCGATCAGAGGGTTGGTGGTTTGAATCCCCACAACCGGGTGAGCTCCCGTTGCTCGGTCCCTGCTCCTGCCAACCTAGCAGTTCGAAGGCACGTCAAAGTGCAAGTAGATAAATAGGTACCGCTCCGGCGGGAAGGTAAACAGCATTTTCATGCGCTGCTCTGGTTCGCCAGAAGTGGCTTAGTCATGCTGGCCACATGATCCGGAAGCTGTACACCAGCTCCCTTGGCCAATAAAGCGAGATGAGCACCGCAACCCCAGAGTCGGCCACGACTGGACCTAATGGTCAGGGGTCCCTTTACCTCTACCTTTATGTATGTTGAAAGCCATCCAGAGTAGCAACTCAGTCGGATGGGTGGGGTATAAATAGTAATAGCAATAGCTGAGTTGCCAGACTGATGACTGGGAGCACACACCCACCAAAATTCCTCTAATGAAAATAGGGACGTCCCTATTTTCATCAGAGAAATTTTGGTGGGTATGCGCTCCCAGTCACTAGTCTGGCAGCCGCCTTGTAGTTTACAAGTCACCTTCAAAGGTAGCCTCATGCTGCAGCGGAGTGTCATGTGAGCCCTCCGCCCAGGGGCGGAACAAGCCACCCATTGGGCAGGGCTAGCTGGGGCAGGGTACGCTGCGTCAAGCCTCGCCACCACCACCCCATCAGCTGTAGAGTGGTTGAGGGAGAGGCAGCGGGCGGATGCAAGCCCCACGCTACGATTTTGGGCATCATGGAGCCTGCAGGTGCCCGAGCCACCACATCACATAGCCCATAGCCATTTTGTCACCCCCTTCGGGGATGACACCCGGGGCGGCCCACACCCACCGCACCCCCCCTTCGTACGCCACTGGCCCCACGTTGAGTACATTGCAGTAGTCCAAGCGGGAGATAACCAGAGCATGCACCACTCTAGCGAGACAGTCCACAGGCAGGTAGGGTCTCAGCCTGCGTAACAGGTAGAACTGGTAGACAGCTGCCCTGAACACAGAATTGACCTACGCCTCCATGGACAGCTGTGAGTCCAAAATGACTCCCAGGCTGCGCACCTGGTTCTTTAAGGGCACAGTTACCCCATTCAGGACCAGAGAGTCCCAAACACACACACACACACACGCCCCCGTCTCCCAGAAACAGTACTTCTATCCTATATGATTTCTCCACCTAGCATTCTTAGTACGGAGGGCGTCCGCTATAAATACTTTAAATAAATAAAGTCAAAGAAAATAAGTGGTTTGACAATTATGCCATAGCTCTTCTATACAGTACATTTTTTTATCTTTCCCCCATGTGCAACTGAAAAAAGGTTGTGAAGTTAATATGCTGCTCAAGACACACCTCAAAGGAGCTACCCTGTAGCAGGATCAGCCCAAACGGATGGGGTGAGGATCTAGCAGATCTCCAGCTGATCCAGCAGGAGGTTCCCAGTGCAACTGGGATACATTGGCTTAACTTCCTCAAACTTGGCTCAGTCAGATATTGCACTGGTATGTCTCCTCCATCTGGCTAAGCTGGACTCAGCAAATCTTAAACCGGCATAAGTCCTGAAAAGGGGGCATTGAGGGAATAGGACCTGAGGAGGGGCCTAATTAGGCTGGATCCTAAACTCAGTTACATGACCTGACAACCCAATGTAATGGGTTATACAACTTAAATCATGAGTAGGTAAACTCATCCGGCCTGAGGGCCGGATCCGGCCCAACTGCCTTTTAAATCCAGCCCACAGATGGCCCGGGAATCAGAGCTTGCACCACCTTGGCAAGACAATGTGTAGGCAGGTAGGGTCTCAGCCTGTGTACCAGATGGAGCTGGTAGACACATGAATAGAATGTGTCCTTTTATTTAAAATGCATCTCTGGGTTATTTGTGGGGCATGGGAATTCGTTCATCCCCCCCCCCAAAAAAATACAGTGATACCTCGGGTTACATACGCTTCAGGTTACATACGCTTCAGGTTACAGACTCTGCTAACCCAGAAATATTACCTTGGGTTAAGAACTTTGCTTCAGGATGAGAACAGAAATCACACGGTGGCGGCGCGGCAGCAGCAGGAGGCCCCATTAGCTAAAGTGGTGTTTCAGGTTAAGAACAGTTTCAGGTTAAGAACAGACCTCCAGAACGAATTAAGTTCTTAACCCGAGGTACCACTGTATAGTCCGGGGCCCCCACAAGGTCTGTGGGACAGTGGACCAGCCCCCTGCTGAAAAAGTTTGCTGACCCCCTGACTTAAATACTATTTTGACGGCTTGTTTCGCCTCTGCCAAACGAATGGAGGTTGGATCCGGCTTCCTTTACGCCAGGCTTGCTTTACTCCACCTTCTTTTGTACAGGATTGATCCCGAATACTTCGCATATCACATATGCCCAGTCCTCTAAAAATTTAAACCCATTAGCCCAAAGAAACCTGCACAAATGAGGGTGGGACTTTATTTTCATAGATTCCCAAACTGGTCATTCACACCCACTGACCGATTTTAGGATGTACTTAAGGTGGGTTTTTGAATCGTAAAAGAGTAACAGCGCTTCAAACAATGCAGATGAGGGTGGGACTCCCAGCAGTTATAAATACATCACGGAGAATGTCACTGTGCTTCCCATGATATTCCCATGTGTATCTCTGGGGAAATAAAAGGCTCTGTTCTTTACTAGCTTAATTCCTGTCATTGTACTTTGGGGCTGTATTGCTGCAGCTTGCAATCTATGAGAGAAGCCCGAGGTTATCATCTTTGGGGTCATTCACAAGCCCTGAAATTACAGGCATTTATTTTTACAGGGCGAAACCGCTCATAAATCAGGGCGGACAAACTCAGCGGCTGGCAGGAACACGGTGAGAACGCGAGCGCTTTTTCACCGGAAGATGGATTGGATATGAAGCCCTTACTGTACTTTGATAAATGCCATTGTTTCCCGACAGTTCTCGTCTCACTCAACGTGATGACAGACCAGCATTTGCCAGGAGGCAAACTTCATTCCCGTCCCCCAGCCTGTCATGACACACCAACTCTTTGTTTTCGAAATACCGGCCTCCTGTCTTTCTTTTTTTAAAAAAATAATAATATTTTTATTCAATTTCCAATGCAAGATTTAAACATACATTTTCAATATTATCACAGATACGTAATTTTGACTTCCTTCAGCTCATCCGCGAATCTTCCGTTTTCTAATCTTCTATCCGCAATTCTAAATTTAACATTGCCTTTTATTTTAAATAAACCTATTCCCTTATTCCCTTTTTTACAGTGTTTCTAATATTATTTCTTCACAAAGCTTCCTGTAAACCCACAAACGTCATTTGCGTACCACAAATGCTTTTCATATAGTCCACAAATTTGCTCCAGTCCTTGGTAAACTTGTGATCTCGTCGGTTTCGGATCCTTCCTGTTAATTTATCTAATTCTGCGTAGTCCATTCATTTCATTCTCCATTCTTCTATCGATGGTAATTCTTCCTGCTTCCATTTTTGGGCCAGTAGTATTCTTGCTGCTGATACTGCATATAAAAATAATTTATGGTCCTTTCTATTTATTTCATTTCCAACCATTCCTAACAAAAAAGCTTCTGGTTTTTTAACAAATGTATATTTCAACATTTCTTTAAATTCATTATATATCAGTTCCCAGAAGACTCTCACCTTTTTACACTCCCACCACACCAGCCTCCTGTCTTCCTTGGGACTCAGGGAGCAGAGCCACAACAGGGTCTGTGCCAGACCCTCCCTATTTTGCGGGAGGGATTCAGTCACATAGTCGAAAATCCTCCCAGTTTACTGCCCTTAGTGACACAAGACCCCCACAGTCCAAAACTGTGCACCAAAAATTCCTCTCCTGCGGACTCCACCCACATCAGCTTCTCACGATGGGCTTTATATTAAAGCAAAAAGGCTAATTGAACAGCGTCTGAAGGACTTAGAGGAAAGCCACTCCCGACCTAAGGAGGGGGAGGGGTTGCGGGCTCACGCCCCGGACTAAATTCTCGCGGGGCTGGCGCCAGCCCCGCGGGACTCAAGGATTCCCCAAACTAATTATTATTCATTATCCCACAGCGCTGGCCAATCGGCGGGCGCTAGGGGCGGGCTTACAATGGGGCACTTAAGGTCGGGGAAGCCCTGGCTCGCCCCTTTTCCTTCCTTGCAGCAGCTATTGTTATGCAAATGAAGTTGGGGGGGAGGAACGCCATCACCTCCCCCAAATCGTGAAGGGTAGTTCGTTAAAGGACTCCGGGGGCGTCGCCTCGTCCGAAACCTACGGAGGCTAGGGCCTAAAGCGCGCCCCCGAGCGGTAACCCCTTGGGGAGCGCCTAGGGATGTGCATCTCGGGGGGCTCCCCCTGTTGGTGCTTAACCCTTCCCGGTTAGACCGGATAATCTGTTAGGGCCAGTGCCTAAAGCCAATACCACTCTTACCTGTAATCAATAAAGTTGTGGCCATTTTCGCCCATTAACTTAAATTCTGGTGTCCGGTGTCTTTATTTATTCCATCCGTGGGAGGGGGCGGGAATTGCCACGCAACAGAACAATCTGGCCATTATAAAGAAACTCTGTCCTTGGTATGCCTCCCACCCCCCCCCACCCCAGTTTGATTCCCTGGCACCATATTTGTATAAATTAACTATCCCAAAATACAGATGTGCCTTCACACGGGCCAGATTGGAACTGATGCCCTCTGCCGTACTGGAGGGCAGATACCAAAAGATTCCAACTGAGAAACGACTCTGCCCCTGTGGAGATGGCAATCTGGAAACAGTGGCTCATGTTCTCCTGTCCTGTCCCCTTTATAAAGACCTGAGGAATGAGAAGTAAGATTGCCACTCTTACCATCCTAGGCCGCCCATTTGTGGCCACATTGTTCTTTCTGTTATCAGATCAAAATGATCAGACAACAGCAAAGGTTGCTAGGTTTATCGAGGGTGCAATGAGATTAAGGGCCACTATCTGAATGATAGTCTTGATCATTTGATTCTCCTTTTTATCCATTGTTGTCTTTTTAATTGTATATATTGCTTGTTTTATGTTGCTATGCCCGTTGACTAATGCAAATAAAGTTTATCTATCTAGTCGAAAATTAGGGTTGTGCAATGTAAAGTGCATGAAAGCGCTCTGACACAACAAACCCACTTAAGAAAAATAAATAAATTTAAAAGACTTTCTGCAATACCATACTCTCCCAAGTGTCCCAAATTTTCAGGGACAGTCCTGGAATTATGAAGGCCATCCCAGTTTGTGATCTGATCCTGGAATGTCCCTATTTCCCTTACCAGTGCTGTTACCTCTGAGCTCAGGGAAGGAAGAGCCTGAGATTGTCCCAAGCAATGGGGATGGAGGCAGTGTCCGCCGCAAGGGAGCATCTCATTACCTTTCCATGGCCACTGCTGTTGGACTCTTCCCTTGGGCAACTTGTAGCTGCTGCTATGAGTGAGGATGAGGAGAGGCTGCCCTTGCCACTGAGACCCAGCCCCGTGTGACACTGGGTCTGGGGGGCAGGCAGAGGGTAGGGGTGCCATGGACAGGAAAAA